CCCCAAAACCCCAAAACCCCAAAACCCCTTTTCACTAACCTCTAATCCCCATTAGTTATTATAATATTTGTGAATATGGAGAAAAGTAAGAAGACTTCTAGTCATGAAGAAGAAAGTGTAAGTTCAAGGGTTATTGTGTAGGTGGAGAATAAGGCAGATCCTTATCAGGATAGGAAGGATTGGGGTGGTAGTTTGAGAGAAGCAAAGGATTCATTGGCGTTTTTAATGAAAGACCCATTTGAGAAGGTTAATTCGGAGAAATTGAGAAATGCGTTTGTTGGTAGTGACATTGAGAGTGGTAAAGAGGATGAAGGTGAGGAGAGAAGTAAGTTTTAAGAGTGCTGAGAGAATAAGTGTTTCAAATATTTGTAGAAATGTGTTCTATGTGTGGCTTAAGACTTAGAGATTTAAATTTTGTTGTTTTACTGAATGCTAAGTCTAATATATAGAGGTTAAAACTGAAACTCCTGTTTCAGAAGTTGATGCTAATGAGCAGCTGAACAAAAGAATTAAGCATAAAGAAGATCTTCAAGAGAAACTTCGTAAAACCTTAATGAGAAAAATCACCAAACAAGCTTTTGAGAAGGAGAAGGAGAAAGAAAAATAAAAAATTAGAGGAAAGTAAATTGGAGAAGAATTTCTACTCTGATTTGGAGGGGAAGCTTCAGCCTGATTTCTTTAAGAACGAAGTCTATCAACCCTTCTTTAATAGTTCTGTCTGGGAAGATTATGAAGATCTAGTTTATGCTATTGAGAGAGATAAGTTTCAACAAGTTATCGATATTTTTGAAAAAGGTGCTTTTCATGTAGGAGAAATAGTCAGACCCACCGGGGATAACATCATGCATGTCTGAGCTGAGTTCGGTAGAGTTAAAATGCTATCTCATTTTTATAAGAAAGGAGGCGAATTATGGTCAAAGAACTACGCTGATGAGCTCCCTATACATCTTGCAGCAAGAGAAGGGCAGGTTGAAACAATCATATATATTCTGGAAAACAGTACAATTCATGTCGATACTGCTACTGTGGATTTATGGACTCCGTTCCATTATGCTGTAAATAATGGATACCTAGCTACTATAGAATTCTTAGTATCAAAGGGAGCTAGTATAAACTCAATAGATAGATTTGGAAGAACTGCTTTGCATTGGGCAGTCAGGTATGATTTTAAGGATATCGTTGAGTACCTACTTAAGCATAACATCAAATTCAATGCTAAAGATAAAGAAGGAAGAACTGCTCTGGATATTGCTAAATCAACTATGAACCTTGATTTGATATCTGTATTGAGTGATTATGAGAAGACAAGAATTAAAGGGAAGAAGAAATAAATTTATAATTTGTTCAATATTTTGACAACCAGATGGGGTTTTGGGGTTTTGGGGTTTTGGGG